CCTCGACCCGTCGGCTCGTGCAGGCAGTCCTGTCGCAGTCTGACATGCCTGCCGCTCTGACATAGTGGTCCCGGGGACGACCTCGCTCTCCCCTCCGGCTGCGTGGCCTTGACCCGGTCTGTTGCTAACGCTAACCCCCGTCCTGACCCCACGCGGCCTTTCTCGATGACTGGCTACCTGTCATAACCCTGGCCGACCCCCTAGCCCGCTACTGTATGTCCCTTCCCCCAGTCTCACACCCACCCAACCACTGTGTAGTCCTGGGCTGCCAACATACCCTGATCCTACATACCTGTGACTCTCTGTGCCCGTGCCACCAGTCTCCCTGACCCAGTCTGATTCGGGCGGTCCAGCATCTCGTGTTTCCCCACCCCGTTTTGACCCGTTCCGTCTATTGTCTCCCTGTCTCCGTCCATTGTCTCCCTGTCTCCGTGTCCCCGCCTTCGTTCGTGAACTGTCGGCTTGCTGGCTGTCGCTAGCCGCCGGAAGAGTTGAGCCACGGCCATGGGAGTTGGACGAGGCCGGTCCAGTCACGGCCGGGCGGCAGTGTCCCTGTCCGCAGCCTGTCGCTTTTCGCTATGGTGGGAGCACAGCTGGGTCCAGAACAGGGACATAGGCACTGTCTCTGTCTGCAGTTACAGCATGTCGCCACGGTGGGAGCGCTGCGGGTTCAGAGTGGGTGGACAAGGGACAGAGGCACTGCCCCTTTGTGCAGTCACAGCTTTTCGGCATGGTGGGAGCGCTTCTGGGCTGAGGACAGGGTCAGCACAGCAGCACAATCCCTGTATGCAGTAAGAACATGTCACCATGTCCAGGGTGGCGTGGGGACTGTGTAAGACGTTTGGTGGCGTTCTGTCAGTCGACCAACTTTAGAAAGTAAAATGTTTTTCGCTGCAGGGTAATTGATGTGAAGGCTATATAGAGAACGAGTTCTGTTTTTCACGTTTCAAACAGTTTTACTAGTAAGGACGCTGTTGTTGAAGTCAATAAATTTTGACTATCACGCCATAAACGATTATGTAATATGGTGAATTCCGCTTGATCGCCCTAATATGCGAAATTCCGCGGGTTAATCTGCGATGCGTGCAGAACAAGTAATTTTCCTTGCTGTCTGATGTCGGGAGATTCTATCAATATAATCCTGCATTTGTACATCATTTTATATCTTTTATGAATTCAGTCTACGAACGCGGCGGCATTCGATGAGTTACCAAGTTTGGCGAAACACAATGATGCATCCGTCTCCGTCACCAGAGAGTGCCGCTTCGGACCGGCCGCTGGAGGTCTGGCCTGGCCGCGAAACACGCTGGAACGTCGCCGGAATCATAGGATTGAGGTCATTGGCGACCGGTACGGATGACACGGCACTTTTCCGTGTTTTATTTCGGAGAGCTGGTTTTGGGAGGTGGATTACTGTCCGCGAGACGGCCAATGGTACCTGGACCTCGAGTGCATCATGCATGCTGTGGAGTTGAATAGGGCTTCCTGGTATCAGCCGTCTTACCTCGTTGAAGTCGTGAGATAGCATCAGTGCCGGCGTTTGAAGGTCCGTGGTCCTGCCGAATCTGTCACTCGATCTGATGCCTGTCGCCGTCTGGTCCGTTTTCCGCTTACATATAGGGCCTTGTTTGACAGCTGACTGGTTTCCGAAAGATTTAACGTGCAATGTGACGGAAAGTATGTCAATGTTGTCATCCAGGTTTTATCCTAATTCAACACCCCAGTTGTTGGAAGTTCACAACTTCCCTTTTGGATATCTATGGTTTCGGTGGGCAAGACACATTCAATTTGTTTGATTTTGGTATCGGTGTTATTTTCGACTGCATTAACTCTGACAACCCGATGATTGCCCTATGCTATTTTGCAAGCGATGCGAAGTAGAGTCTAGATCAATGTGATGTAAGAATTGCGTAGGTGATTGATATTTCCAGCTGATCTGTTGTAAAAATAAGCCATTACCGCACTCCGATAACAGATCGATCGACCTCGGCTCGCTATCTGTGATTGTCGGACCGGCTTTGTGAGGGCCTCCGTTCTGTTAATGATTTGTTTTTGCTTATTATTTTCTCGTCGCACGCATTGGCTGAAGATGATTTGGTAAACGTTTGCTCCCTCATTGCCGCACAGCCAGTCCGGTTGGCCTTGTGCGTTGTAGCTCTCTATGTGATCGATATTTTCCAACCTCCCTATTTTCGCGTCTCTCTCTCTGAGTGACCCATCCGGTTTCCCTTATCCCACACCACCGGTGTGCTTGTCGTGTCATCAGCCCGGTGTGGGGTGACGATGGTCTCATCTGGGCCGGGTTTTATGGCTGCTGACGGTGCTCTCTGCCGGGGCCAGGAGCAGTTTTAGCGGCGTGCCAGAGCGTGTTTTGTTCCTCGGCGACACGTGTTCAGACACGTGCCGCTCGAATTGGTGCGTCGGCCCGCGTGCCGGCCGGCGCAGGTGCGGCATGCTCTGCCCGCAGTCGCAGTGGATGTTTTTGCGTCGTAAAATCACTCTGCTCATGTAGGATTTAGTTTTTGTCTACTGGGAGGTATCAGACTTGTGCCTGACTGTGCTGCTCACCGCCCTTGTATTGTTCCGCTCGTTCTCATTATTCTAATCTTTATCATCTCTGTTGCTCGTTCCCATCATTCGTGACCTGCGTTTACTGCCCACAAGTCCGGTGCATACCCGTTAGCTGTATGTAAAAAGCTTACCGTTTCTCGGCGTGCTGTTCGGCTGACCACGACGCGTGGCGGCTGTTCAAAGGTTTGTTTTCCACCTCTCCGTGCGGTCGAGTCAGATGTGCGCGGCGCACAATGGCCACCAGCTATCCACTTGTTATCTGGTCCCGGCGAATGGGGCCGAGGTGGTCGGCGGCGGAATCTCTATCACAGACGCACCGACCATTTGTGCACTCTGGACTCACCTTGGGGCACCGAAGCCAACACAAACACGACCTTGATTTTGCTAAGAACATTGCGCTGAAAACTGCGTGCTGATTCGGCGAGCGGTGCAGGTCAGTGGCCGTCCAAGCTGCGGGCGCCGGCGTTTCTATGTAGTTCGCTACGCTACTGTGTGTAACGGGCGGCACCTTTGTCTTGGTAAAACTCATCGGGAGAGAGTTCCAGTTTTGCCAGCATGGTGACGGCCTGGTGATATTTTCACTGTTTGGAAAGCACGGTATTGGATTTTTGGGAGGTGCTTTGTTTTATACAACTGCGCGACTGTTACTGCCAGAGCACGACTTTCTCTCGATTCTCACGTCGCTGGAAGTCGTGGTGGAGAACGCTAACGCTGCATCGTAACAAAGAAATTAAATCATGGGAACTGGGGAATGGGACTCTGGCAGCCTTTTGCTAGCAGTCGTGTTTTCTCAGCACAGAGCATGGGTCCGCTCTACCAGCCCGATTCTAAGGGCCTACGGTAACAGTTGTTTGTGCAACACCGTCGCTACCGTTTTTACTTCTTATCGCTACGTATTATTCGTTATGCGTCATCTAATCGACAACACGCAGTGTAACGCTATATCACATTATCTTTGTCAAGCTACTGCGTATTGATGTTGGATCTTTCGAGGGCAATGCTGCGTCTTGCTGTTTTACGTGATATGACGCACCGGTTGAAGTGTGGTATCTTCAGTTGTGACAGTTAGTGCAGCGTGAAAATGAAGCAGATATCATTGTTGACGGTGAGCATTATAGAATCATTTTAAAAGTCCTTCCAGTGTTAGTTGTAAAAAGCGGTAAAATCTCTGAGTTTCTGAGCTCTCCTCTGTGGCGTATTTAGCAGCCGGTACCCAGCCGCTGTAACGAACATTGAGCGGCCGGCAGTCACCTGGGCTGAACTTTCAACACGGAAGCGGCGCCGGCGTTACGGACGTGCCCCGTGATTATATACACGACTAGAGAGTGAGATTGTACCGCTGATAGGGCAGTCGGAGCGGCGAACTGGCCATCTGATTATATCGCATCTCACAGCCGCGCTGGCCCGCGGAGAGACGTCAGGGAGACTGGCGGCTGGCACAGCATCAACCCTTCATCCCTTCTCTTTTCTGGCTCGTCCTGAACCTGAGCTCTGGACCCTGATTCCCAGTTCGTTTGGCCTGCATCCTAGGCGCGTTGACCTGGAGAAAGCCGAGTCCTTTCCTGTTCCGGTGCGGCCCCGTCTTCCATTGGCACGGTTTCCGTGACGGCCATTGTGCCCGGTGTTTTGTGCCGTCACTCACGCTGCATTGTGTGTGTTCTGTTTCGGCTGCTGCCTGCCTTGTTTGTCGGTGATATAATTTGCCTGGCATTGTTGATGAATGACCAAGTGCCGTGCGGGCTGCTGACCAGTGACCATTTCCGACTATCCATTGCTCATGGTGCCGACGCCGGACGTTGACCATTGCCCATGTCCCGAGGTGGCGCTGCCGGCCCGTTCCTGCGAGCTCCGCTGGGTTCAGTGGCCCGCTTTTCGGCGCCGCGTGCGTCACACAAAGACCCCACCTCCTTCTGGTACTGCTCGGGACCCGGTTTTTAGCGCTAACTCCGGGCCGGCCCGGCGCGTCACGGCACAAGGTCAGCCGAGCGCGCCAGCACGGCCCACACTCGACCATCCACCGAATCCCAGTCTTTGTGGGACGGCCGGCGCGTGGCGACGCCAGCGCTCCTGGCGGTGACTCGCGGCGGCGCCGACTGGCCCTCGTACGCGGCTCGTCGCTCATTCAGTGAGCTTGGAGGAGACGGCGGGATAGCTAGTGACGGCTGGCGCTGATCTTGCAGACTCGAGCTGTGGACTCGAGCTGCGAACTCGAGTGGTGAACTGACGCGTGTGTAGCGTGGACAGACTAAGGTGAACTGATTGGCGCGGCGAATGAGACAGGTTCGGACAGGTGCAGTGACTGACTCGCGGCGAAGGACTAGCGGAGCGGCGGCGGACTAGCGGAGCGGCGGCGAACTCTGAGTGTGTGTGTCGCGGCGACTGACTGACGATGCTGTGTGAGCCTCTAGTAATGGTGAACTCGTTGACAGAGCGGCGCCGGGTGGCGCACGTGCCCAATGTCGGCGCGCTGCTGAAGCCCCCGGTGGCCAGCCCGGCGGCTACCCCGGCCACCTCCAGTGCCAGCCCGGCCAAAACGGTGACGCCTGCCCAGACGGCGCCCCGTGGAGGCAAGCGGCTGGCCCACACACCCACCACGGTGAGTACTCGATGGTTTCGGGTGGTTCGGGATGGGATCAGAGGCTGGGGAGCTCAGGGGTAGAAGGGGGCGGCTTGAGCACTGGTAATGTTAAGCTCCTCAGCACTAGCCTCCCCCCTCGCCTCCTGTCGTCACCGATTGTTTTGGTTTCGGTCAGCACCCTCCCCACGGGGGCCATTGTTTGGCCCCCGACGTTTGTCAAATGATGTGTTGTTTTGGTTTGGCGATGTGCTGGTAACCAATAGCGACACGTTTTGGCACGTCTCCTACGTTACAGAACGTTCACTGTTCAGTCACGTTGTCCCAAGTGTATTGTGTTGAAGCATTAGAGTTTTTTCCTGTGATTTGATCCACCTCCCTCCATTCTCCCTTACGTTTTGTTATGGTTGGTCGATACCACGTGGTGGTCTGATTGTTATCAGTGTCGTGTTTGGGTTCCGGCCGTGGCCTCTTGATTACTATTCAGTGTCCGCTGTCCACCATAGGCTAGGACTCTAGCACTGGTCGATGCGGGAGCTTAGCATACAGCACCGCCAGTGTTGTTCGACCCGCGGTGCCGCCCACCCGGCTTCTGGTACTCCGGTGCCGCCCACCGCCCCCGGCTCGGTGCCTAGTACCGCCCACCGCCCCCGCCCCTCGGTCCGTTGTACCGCCCCCCCCCCCCCCCCCCCGGTACGTACTTAGTACTACCCCGCCCCGTCCGTATATTACCCTCCCCCCTCGTCCGTAGTACCGCCCCGCCCCGCCCCGCCCCGCCCGTACTACCACCCAGCGCGCCCAGTCTCGCCGGGGTCCCGCGCTAACGGTTTGTTTTGGTTCCGTCACCATTCAGCGTGCACCACGCTCGATCCACGTGAGAGTGGCGCGCGGACGGCGAACCTGACACGATGACAGGACCATAAATGTCACCGGCGCAGGTGCAGCCAGTACGGCTGAATTGCCTTCCCCTATCATCACTCTCTTTCATCCCCGGCTTCCTGTATATTATCATAATCACGTCTCCCTCAGTTGTAACGATCCTGGTTTTGTCGAAATCGTTATATAATGTAGCTATGTATAATCCTAGCTTTAAATAATGTACCAACGTATTCACACCGGTATTGCGGCACCGCACCTACCGTATCCCAATCTCTACGGTCGGTAGATTAGCCTCCTCTCTCTATGGCACGCTGGCCTCTTGTGTAACAACGGCGGTCGGTTTCACACCGTGCTCCGTGCCCTGGGAGCTGGGGTCCCTGCAATGGGTACTACACACGGCACCGAGCAATGACGCTGACTGTGTAGAAAAGGGGCGGATGAAACTTAGCTGGTGGTGGCTGGAGGCGGGTGGTTCGCCTGAAGGGTATGATTTGGTGGGAGCGGGGTCGTGGGAAGGGTTGGTGAGTGCGAGGGGACGATAGGATACTGTAGGTTAGGGTCAGCAGACAGAGCGTAGCAGACTTTTGGGGCTGGTTTTGGTAGGCGGTTTGGCGTTGCCCGTGACGCACCTGCCCCGTACCTGACGTCGATGTTTACGGAAGTACCGTCACGTGGCTGCCTGGTAGGCATGACTGCTCTGCTGATTCGGGGTCTCTTGTGCAGCGGGGTAGGTCGTGCTCGAGGAAGTCCGTGCCATGCCTCAAGCGGTTTGGGTTAGTTTGGTTAGATGTGGGTTGGCTAGAAGTTGATTACCGCGCACGTTGAGAGCAATGCGTAGTTTGTGGAAAATCAGCCACTGGATGACGAAGTTTTGATGTTTCGTCATATTCTCCGCGTATATGTTTCGTCGTAGGTATTAATGTGAACACTGGCTCAGAGTATCCATCACTCGGTGCTGGTGATTTCCATCATCTCTCAGACACCACCACCGGCGAACTGTCACCGGCGACTGTTCCATACCACACTACCACTAATGGCTCTAATGGACTAATGGGTGTAATGGCTCCCATGCTCCAGTGAACCCTGGCGCTCCTTTGTGTCATTCCTGTGGTCGGCTGTGCATTGTGCACTCTGCACTATGCAGGTGGCTCGCTCGTCAGGTGGGAGCCCTCCACAGTGTCGCAGTATGCTGCTGGGTAGGCCTGTCCTCAGTTCCCTGCAGCGGCGGTGACGTGTCAATACGTAACGCGACATGACGAAACGGTGTGACGCGGGCCCGTCAGCCCTCCGCCGGTGCCGAGAGCTGGGCCTCAGTCCTCTGCTGGTGCTCTGTTTATGTTGAGGCCGAGATCATGCAGTGTTCCTTTCTCACCCCGTCACCCGTGCCCCGACTCACTCCCTCTCATTAGGCCGTGTGCTACCGGTGGTTTCCCCACCATCGTACCTGTTATATGTTCCATTATATGACGTTTTAAGCGTCTACCGTGGGGAGACCGCAGCGCAGCGCTGGCGGCGGGTGGTCTAAAAACCGCCGGCCGATTTATGTGAGACAGACGCGGCCGGCCCTGGGTGGCGGACTGAGCTGGGAATAGTGTCACCTGAACTCTCCGCCGACCGGTGAAGGCCGTCCACCGGCGGCTGATAGAGCGCCGTGTGTGCACCGCAGTCGGCAGCTCGGGCGGCGCCTCCCCTGCCGGGGACGACGACCCGCCGAGGACAAAGGTCACGGTCGTCCTTTGTGTGGTGTGCAGGTGATGGTGGGCTACCGACCAATGTGAGTCTGCCCTGCAGACTGTGCAGAGGGCAGCCATGTCCTGTCAAGGTCTGAGGGGTACCACCAAAGCCGGGTGACCGACCCTACACCTATTGACTCGCATTCCGTTCCGGTCCTGGTTGCTTTCATCCCCGCCTGGTTTTGTCCCTTGTGGTTCGTCCCGGGCCGGCGCCACATACCAGCAGGACCAGATCACCGGAATGTGGCACCGGACGCGCCCGGTCGGTATGTGGCTCACACAGTGCCGGTGAGGGCCGCGCTAACCCATCCTGGCGGCGGGGTGCCGACTGAGTCAGACCCTGTGTTCGCGGCGTCATCCGGCCCGCTGACGCCTCACCGCGCGGCGCTCTCCACCACCTGTGAGCGGCCACGTGTCGAACTGCGTGTCACCGCTGCGAGCTCCGCCGTGGGGCGCCGGCCGGCTGACTCAGGGGGCGGGACACCGCGCCGGGCGGGGCGGGGCGTTAGTCAGCCGCTCGATACCGATTCCACGCACGCTACTACACAGCGCGTGGCCTGACGACCGCCCGTGCCACAGGCCAGGGACAAAACCCGTCATCGGGAGAATCCCGGAAAGAGACACGTCATCAGCCGACCTGAGAGATCTCTCAGAAGCCGCACTGGCCGGAATCGAACGGTCATGGGCGCTCGCGGAATGAGCCGATGTGCGGTGACGCGGCACATGGCCGGCGGGGGCCAGTTTAAAGGTCCCAAGGTCGCGGTGGGCAGCTGGGCGGGAACGGAGAGTACTACGGGCGGCGGTGCGGGGAAGGACCGGGTGAGCGATAGCTGATTGTGAGGAGAATGTCACCGACATTGCTGCTCCCGAGGGCACGGACTAGACTGAGGACATTGGTCGGTCAGGTCGAGAGTTAGTCTTGTCTTCAACAGTTCCCGGCAACCGTTCATATGTGCCACGTCGCTGCCGGCCCCTCTCCCTCCCTCTCTCTCCTCTCTTTCCTCGCCCTCTCCCTTTGTTCCTTGAATCGAGCCTGATAGATTTGCCGTTATCCTATATCTGGCGCCGTATTGGCGGTGATAGTCGGTCACTCGCCACAGCCGCTGACCACCGACCGCTCCCTTATCTCTCTCCTCTCTCCTCTCTCCTCTCAGCTCGTCATTGGCTCTGTTTTGTCGCCGTTCCCCGAACTGGCGCTGCGCAGTTGGGCCATCGTCGATCTGACGACTATTTGTGCCGAGAGGACGGTCTCGTTCGGATGATACGATTCGGCCGATAGGACCAAGGACCTATCCTGTCGTCGCCGCCACTGATGCTAATGCTGTCACTACTGGCGAGACTTGTTTTGGGGCCCTTTCTCCCCCTCACCTTTCCCCTGCCAGAGAGCGGTAACATTGGTAACCTTGACTGGCGGTCAGCCGAGCCGTCCACTGCCGACCGACAGCCCTCTCGCTCTCCCTGACCGCTCGACCAACCGGCTGACTCATCTGAAGGCCCACTGTGACGTCAACAACATTGGGTGTGACGTCACCGACGTCAACAATGACGTATTGGACTGGCCGGCGCGCCACGGCGATTTCGAAGACGTGGCAGCTCGGTGACGGTGGGTTTGGGGCCAGGCGAGCCGCGGGGCGGGGCGGGGTCGCACGGCGGAGACGCCTGCTGGGAAGGCCTGAGGAGCTCCTGGAAAGAGTTGAACGAGATTTTCCACCGCGCTATGGATGGAGGTCACCGACTGAAACGAGTTCGTGGAATCGGAGCGTGGTATAGTACGGTGGCGTGTGGCGGTTCGGGAGTCGGGGTTGAAGGTCACGGTCGGACAGCGGGCGGTGGAGCGTGCACTGCCGCCGGCGGGGGTGCGGGGCCGCGCTATCAGCCGCAGGCACCCGCCGCCCTGTCGCGACTCGGCACTATCGCAGCGTGCAGCTGGACGACAGAACCGCCAGGCGCCAGGACAGGCCGGGGTTTTGTACCAGAATTTATATTTTGAAAATCGTCAACAGCATGAAAACAGGCTTATGGCGCGAGTAACTGGAAAAGCGATCTAAAGCAGGCTGATCGTTCTCTTGGTAATCTAGCGAATTCCGCTGTGTTCGATGTAGTGCACGATGTGTCCCTATTGACCTCACGTTAAGCCTCCTGCACATCCCGTCCCGTCTGCCAGGGCCTCTCGTCCTGCCGTCCGCCACCGGGGCCATGGCCGGCCAGGTGTAACGGCCGCTGACCGGCCGATGGCTCGACGGTCTGACCTCGGTACGGCCGCCCGCTCCGTGCGGCCGGCCGGGAGAGAGCTGGCGAGCCGAGCTGCCGAGATACAGCAGTCCGTTGACCTCTCTGTGCTCCTCTGCCGCTCACCATTGAAGGTCGCCTCCCAGCGTGGGTGGGACCTTCGCAGCCTGCACTGCGCGC